TTTTTACGTATGCGTCTCGTTGACGCATAAGACCGTGTGCGCGTAAGAACTTTACGGCTGTGAATATGCGTGTGCGCATGCGCATAATACGTTTACGCAAGGCTGCGGTTAATGTATAAAGGACGGTATAAGCTAAGCTAAAATTATCTAATTCATTTAATGTTGCAGATTGCGTTGTTCCTTATTCTTCGAATTAGATTTGGCTTATTATTTTTTGCAGACTGTTAGAGCAATTTTATAAAAGTAAGCTTGAACTTTCGATTATGTCAAATAGAATTTCTGATATATATTTACTAATATGTAAAGGATCTACAAAGCGAAAGTATGTTTCGAAATCCGAAATCTGTTTATCAATTTCACGCTGCTCTGCGGCGGGGGGGGGACGCTGCAGCACACAATGAATTGGAAGTTGATCTGTCAGCACTATCCTTATCTTCAGGGCAGATGTTTTTAGTTTATTTGGCTCATAATTCCTTACTAAATGTAGTATTTCATCTCGATGTACTCCGTCTTTGATATGATTTAAATCAAGTTCCTCGTCATTATAATTCGCTTCCAATAGTGCAGAAAGTGACACAGAGGTTATTGAAAACGAAAAAAATTTCGATTGACAAATTAGTCGGTATTCTCGACACAGGAATTATAGGACTTGAGCAGCGGAACTTTATAACTGAACAAGAAATTATGTCTGTTTAATAGAATTAAAGAGAATGTATTATCACATGAAAACGAAGCAACTTAAACAACTTACATTGAAAGAAATGTTTAATAAAAAAACAAATAAATATTAAGCTTTTTCTTTTTGTAAATTTTGATACCCTTTAGATCATAATTGTTCTTTATTTCATAAATTACGGTTTCATATTTTTAATTTTGTAATTTCTGCATGCCATCTTACCATATTTAAACTGATGATCTATAATCCGGAAAAATCGATAATCCGTAATCGCCGAAGTCCCGACGAGACGGATTAACGACTTTTGACTGTATATATAATGTATATATTGACGTGATCAGTAACGGATATCCTGTGTGGTCTTTTCTTGATAACTTTCCGGTCATCGTGGACGTTGTTTTTGATTTAGAAAAATAGGAAGTTTTCTAATATAAACCTGATGTCACACAGGTTTTAAGGATGAAATATTTCTGAGTGTCTTTTGAAGTTTTGGGACGTGTGTTGGGGTTATATTCAGTTTCATTCCGTTAGCCATGGCTAAGAGACCTTACTTAAAAATTTGTCCAAAATCACCGGACACTCCACCTTTCCGTCTAACTGGAAGACAGTTTCCGAAAATTTACGTTGACGGAAAAGGTAATAAAGATTCCTACCTTTATTACGTTGCGAAGATGCGTTGTGTGTGCTAAAACCAAGGAAAACCGAAAGCAAACAACGTATTTTGAGTGCGAAATATGCAATGTAGGACTGTGTGTCGATCCTTGTTTTGAGTTATTTCACACGCAGCAGAATTTTTAAATTGGAATTTAAATACCTACAAGTAACTCTTGTTTAGTTTTTTTTTTTTTAAAATTTCGTAAGTGTAATTTTTTTCCATGTTTATAGTATTTATTTCCGCGTGTATAGTTATCATTTTAGTATTTTGCTTGTTTAATTTATTTCTATTAATGTGATATTTTTTATATTAATACACACTAAAAACTAGTACATTAAATATGCAACTTCAAAAATTGAAGTCATAATATCAAAATGCTGATTTTATACGATTTTTATTGTAAAATTACGCTTAACTGTTGAAAATGTGCGGGCCTGTGGCAACGATCTATTTTAGCGCGGCCTGTTCCGTGACTGCGCTTCGTTCTCGCGGCGCTGGTCCTTAAGGGGTTAAGACTTTTATAAAGGTCTCGTGAGGAATTAATTCGAGTAATAGAAACAATTGACTGTATCACAGAGATTTATTCGCATTGCGTCCAGTATCGTATATAACAAGGAAAAAATTTAAATATGAAGGTAGGCCCTTTTTCTTTCTGCAGGATTTTCTGCATACAACCTCACCACAATTCCGCATAAAACGTAAACGAAACATCGAGACTTCGTAATCGATTACAAAGTGCAAAGTGTAACAGCTATTTCCCATCGATGGTACTTCCTTACCCTGTCCGGCAGCGCAGTGTTAACGAGTGTTCCGGTCCAAGAACGTGGGTGTGGGTTTGAATCTCACTTTTGAAAGCAACAAAATTAGAATTTCCACTTTAATGTCATTTCCTTTTCCAAATTTCGATTTCGTGGTTTCTTTTAGCGGTCGTTATAAATTCTTACTTTAAAAAACAGTGTGTAATTTAGAAAAAGTGTATATTTGAGATCAGAGGTAGTTGATAATTTTTCTTATTTCTTTCATGCAACTTGAGTTCACTATGAAATGTTTTTTTCTCCTAAATTAGGTGAACATGCTCTATCATCTGCATCATACGAATAGATACTGTCAGACAGAAAGTTTACAAGATAAACTTAGTAACAGATGTTATACCTTACGGAAGTGCCCTTTGTTGTATATTCATTGTGCGCAGTGGCTAATCGCACCGACGGTACGAATAGCAGAGAGGCTATTCACACCACCTACGTTCGCGCATGAGCCCAATCAGCCCAGGTACCAGTATCTTACGCCGATTTCCGTAAGGCAGGCGGTAGAGAGAGCGAAGATTGTTAACCCTAACTCAGCAATAGAAAGGGTTGTTAATAGTTCATCAGCAAGAGAATAATTTGCAAGTAATAATTATCAATTACAAAGACGAGGTCAATCTATATGCATGATAATGTTCAGGAAATGATTAGATAAAATAGGAATTTAATGATGGTTCTAATTGCAAGGACGTGTAATTAGTTAAAAAATCTTTAATGTATTGACAAAAAGGCTACAGAAATTACTTAAATTCTTTTATTTAACAGAAGAATTTTTATGCAAACTTAGACTCTAGTCTTATAGCATAGGACTATCAGAATTTATTATTCAATAAGAAAAATTACTGAACATTACAATATTCTTATATATTCATCACATTTTTTTTCAGTATCCACACATGTTTATAGGTTCAAATGCCATATTTCAAAATGAAAGTTATTTATGAAATAAAATCTGATAAATCATTTCTGTGTGCAAATTTTTAAATCTAAATCTCTGACATTAAACTATTTCTGTCTTTTAAATTACATCCCATTATTTATTAAAATTTAATTTATTAATGTGTTTGTACTAATATTTCACAGTTCTTTGAAATACTTTATGTGTACGGAAAATGCCAAGTATTTCCATTAAAAGAATAAACAGGCATACAAAAATTGTTAATAAACCAGTATTATATGATTAATTATTCATGTAATAGTTGATTTAATCGCATTTAACTTATTTCATGTCTAAATTTTCTACACAGAAATCCTCTGTCTAATGTTTATTATCTTTTCTCAGACGAAATTTTCAAAGAGAAATGAATAGAAGTCTTGATTGCGCAAAACACATCTTTTAAGCTAAATGTATTATTCTAAGAAGTACCAAAAATGTAAACAAGATTTTGTCCTTTCTCCCAAATCAGTCATTTAAACTATTCCAACCGTTCAGAAAACAATAAACATTCCGAACATAAAAATCTGCCCTTTTTTATATTGGTTAGTTTGGTTTATTTAATTACGGCAAAGCACACTAGGGCTATCTGCCTAATGGGAGGGATGCCTTCGTGGAGGACTTTCTAAGGGAAACAGGATCATATACACGTTATGCATGGGGAAAACCACGAAAACGCCCATACAGCCAGCCCGTTCGCGGGATTCGAACTTCGGACGGAACTACCAGTGTTCAGCGATTTTACCGCTCGGCCGCTGGTGGGCCCGCCCTTTTTTATATATACTTTAATAAAAGGAAATATGTTCCTTCTTTTTATATATATAACAAAAGGAACCCATTTTCCTTTCTAATCTTTTGAAAGTCGCCAATGCTTAAAAAATGATAAACTACGCTAAGGTGGTAACCCGTCTTTAAAAAAAAGGTTTCACTACAACACTTAGGCAGTTCGTATGCGTACAATCCGTTCTTCTGATTGGGTTCAAATGAGGGATCCGACAACTCAATGCGCATGCGTGGTTAATGTCGGTGCGAATAGCTCAAGCGGCTAATCGCACCGCTGCTGCGAATAGCATCGCCCATTCATTGTGACAGTAAAGGAAGGGGGGAAAAAAAGAACTTTCGCTGATACGAAGTATTGCATCACTGAAATGAGGTAATAGTGCGAGGCATGCTGCACACAGCTCACCTTGCTATAAATTTTCTGACTCTAAAAATCGACATTTCGATATTTAGTTACGTATGAAAGTTAATTAATTAAACTCTTACTATGCAATTGCACAAAAGAGCGGTAATTCTTTTTTCTTAATTTTAAATTTAAGACATGCAATTCAGATCACACCCCCAAAGCAAGGAAGTTCCACTATGTAGAACTGTCACCTCAGATTTAGGTCTTAAAAGTTAAGAGCATTAGTTCAAGAAAAAGGTTAAAAAAATAATTAAAAACAAAATCCTCTTTATAGACATGGAGCTAAAAAGATGAACTAAATTAACGTTATTTACGCTTTTCAACTAAAAGGGAAAACAGAAAAAGAAAGATAGACACGACTGTGCCGTAATTCATTCGAAAAAATTACAGTTAATATTTAAAAAAAATATTTATTAAGTCTGCCAAATGTTAAGTCAAAGAAAAATATTTAACTCTTCGTATGATAGAAGCATCTAGTTTTGGAGATTAAAGGATTTTAAATTTACAATTTTAATAAACGTTTTCGTAAATGTGGTTTGACAGGTATATGATACGAAAAATTTACAGATTTAGGCTAAAACGGTTAATTATGAGAAAGAATGAGTATAACATTCTTTACAGCAGCAGCTTTTAGCATTGTGTAATTGCATAACACGATGTTTGCGTATTCAAATTGCGAGTAAGGAAGAATCATTATCATTCTCCAATACTAATAGCAAAAAGTCTTAGAGAACTTTGATACTAGACTTCTTCATACACATCCAAAATGTTTTAGTGTTTTTCTCTCTAACAGCCCAGGAGCTTTTTATCAGAATTCAAACTGGCACTGCACACCTTTCACTACGTAGTAATTTTTTTAAAGTTATCAGATAGTCTGTTGCGGTTGCTTCTGCACAATTCTAACCATAACTGCAGAATAGAAGGAAAACAATGAAAAGTATTATGTGCAAGGGTGTGATTAAATTCACGAGAGTCTAATGTTGTGTGCTGTAAACAGAAGTTACCGTCTGTGTAATGAGTGGAAAAACTTTTTTGTTTTCTTTCATTCTTCTACATTGTGGTATTTGCCAATATTGGTGCGCAAAAGTTGATGATGACAATCAGGAGCTTGCGAAACAAGACGCAAATACTGGTTCGTCTGCTTCACTATATTTCAACTAGAAAATAAGTAGTTTTATTTCTAAGCGCCGTACCAATACTGTTATACGATAAACATAAAGTAGTGATTATTTACCTTCTCTCAAATCACATTATTTACCGTTAATGAACCAAATAAAAAGATTTCCTCTGTTAAAATAGAAGAAATTGGGAACGAGTAACTAGAAAGAAAATGTAAATTTCGTGAGGGAGCGTATGATTTTACTAACGGATTTGAATTTTGTTTCCAGTGGATTCAATGCTTTCTATAGTAAGTGCTACTATAAATGTGCAATCGCGTAACTTGTCAAGAGGAAACATTTTTGAGAACCACTTTTCATGCAAGTCTGTGCTACAATAACACGTTTTTGGAAGATGTCAGTAAATTTATGCTCTAGTTATTGAAATTAAAATTTTGCATCGAATCATTGCGTTAATGATTTTCACATATAGAAGAGTTAGATTTTGCATTTATTATATAAATTTTGTGATTAGGATTTAGATGTATCTTCAATATAAACTTACATACATGCAGCAAATGAAAATATTCCATTGATTTCCATCAAATTTAGTTTTGTAACATTTCTCAGTTTTGAAAATGCAAGGAAGATTATGTATCAATTGGACCACAGCCATAGTTCCAAAGTTTGCACTGCTTTTTTAATTCAGTAGTCTGCCTTCACTTGTTTGTGTATATCTAAAGAATCGCCCTATGCCTAGGTGTTGCAGAAAGCTTTTGTTTTCCCCAACCTTTTTGTAAAATTAACTATAATTAAAAAGTACATTTATATCATATTATCTGCCTTTATATTTAATGTACTTACCTTAGATGTGTTACAAAATGCTCTCACATTGTAGTTTTTAGAAACAGCATAGTAAGCTGTAGTCTGTTACTTTGGACTAGGCTGTTCAGGATCGTTTTCACCAACCTGACTTGCCTCCTAACCATGGTAATGACAGATGCAGTAGATAAACAAGACTCCTAATTTTTTTCCGCATTTAGCATTTTTCACTTTGTGAAAAGCACATGAAAAGGCTGACTTCAACTGCAGTCTCAAATTAGGAAAATGTAAGTGCTATAATAGTGGTGATGGATGCATGGTATGATCACAAATGTCTAAGGGTCAGAAAGACCTTGAAGTACCTATTTTTAAGTAACAGGCTGTAATAAACTTTGATCTCCTGAGCTAAATTAATAAAGATTGGTTAAATTTCAAGCTGCAAGGAAAGGCATATTTTTCATTTGTTTCAGAGCTAGAGATAGATTTCATATAATCCCAAAATATTTTGGTATTTTCCTTTTTTGCCTAATTTAAGTATTTCCTAATTGAAGAAGATAAACGTAAGCTTTGATGTAATTAATGTATTCTGTGTCACATATGCAAATGGTACTAGTGACAGGGATATATAATATGTAGTATTTATTAGTACAATCTTTGTATGTAACTTATCATATTTTTATTAATTTAATTTAATTTCAGGCTCTAAATATTTATGATAATTACCTGATTTAGAGTTCTAAATGTTTACCTACTTAATATATAAAATAAAATATTTTTTTGTAAACTGTTAAAAAGCATGTAAATATTGCTTGACAGTTATCATTGAGCCCTACTGAATAATTTTGCACAAATCATTAAAAAATTAATAACAAATATCTAGGAAAGAAATGAGAGCTGTGATGGAAATTTAGATAATTAAGGTATGAATTTTGTTGCCGATTGTACATTAAAATCATTATATAATATTTACTGTATGAACGGCATTTATTTCTGCCATAGACTGATTTAACTTTTGGAGAAAAATTTACTTTTACTCCAAAAGGGAAGTTGTGAAAATAAACTAGCATTAAAAAGTAGGGTTAATCTTCGGATTATGGTAACTTCGCGATTTTTTGGCGACGAACCCTGTTACAGCAACCTGCTAGTTTTTTCTAGGACGCCATCTTGTTTTCACGAAATAAAAGCATTTTTTTTTTTTTTTTTACCCAACATTTTTTTCCAACAATCTGCTAGCCGAATTATGCTTATGCTAGAACATTTATGGGACTGCAGTGGCCCAGTTATTGCATGAGAAATAATTATTTTTTATTTCATATATTTGTGTTCATGTGTTTAATTATTTTATAAAATTAACTTTAATATTTTGCTAATATTCATATTTATATTTCTTTTATGCTGAATGGCAACTAGTTCTAGTTCTGATTCATGATTGCTAAGGTTTTGGTTTCAAAACGTTGCTAGTAGCGTCGCATTTCGATAGCTGGAAAATAAAATGCAATAAACTTAGCTATTTGTTTATAATTCATGCTGTTCCTAATCATAAATTAATTTTAAACATTAGTAGCCAAGGCTACAGAACAAAAGTGCTTAATCATGACGAAGATTAGGTGCGAAATTGGGAGAAAGTGCAGAATCGCCCACTGCTTGCCACGTTTTTAAGAATTGCACATACACGTTATCCATCCACACGTTGACATATTTTCACTTTACAAAACATCCCAGAATTGCACAAAAATGGCATTGCGCACACTCTTGACTTTATCCATGTACACTGCTAAAGTCCTAGCTAGTAACCTTTATTGCCTTATCAAAATGTCGCCAAACTACCTGTTACCATATTCCAAAGATTAGCCAAAAGTAGATTAAAACATTATTTTGGAAATTCAGATATTGGATATCTTGTTAATTTTATGCTCTCCATCTATCAAAAGTAATTCAGCATGAATAAAAGAAAATCATTTGCCTAACAATGTAAGAAGCTGTAGCAAAAGGTATTTAAAATAAATTATTTCTATCCAGGTGCTTTACTATCATAAGTTATATAATGCTCACTATTTGCGATTAACATATAAATTTTTATTCCATTTAGAAGTCTTGTTTTTAGTTGCAAGAAATACTAATTAATTTAATATACCAACTAAAATATTCATTAGAAGAACTTATGTTTCAGTATTTGCCCAAGATTAAATTTTCTCAGTTTAAGGACAATTGTTGACTTAAATAAAGTGTAACATTCTGATATGATAACTTTACTGTAAACTGGCATTTAAAATAACATCTTTCAATAAAGGCATCAAGGAACCTTTACATCTTTTATATCTTAAGTACAATATTTGAGCTAATTTTTTCCAATCTCTTAGTGAGACTTGGTAATATTTCACTCTTAATTGCTTATCTCATAATCCACTTCATTGAAACAGAGTTACAAATCAGTAATCTGGAGCAGAATGATTACTTCTATACAAGCTTTATATCTTATACCCAAGTTTAGGGATATCCAGAAACTGAAATTTATGTCTGAAATTAGCTGAGATGCAGTGCGTGTGGAGACTCATTTTCTGAGCAACACTTAGTGATACTGTTTTTCTTTATCTGCTGAAATTTTTTGAACGTATTAGAACCCAACTCTCTTGATCCACGGAGAATAGATATTCTGAGTACCTCAACTTTTCTTATGATATTTTAGGTCTAATATATTTTATTTATTGTGCAGAGAAATACATCCAAATTCATACTGTAAAATGGGCACCTGCTTAAGTCAACAAAAATTCATGTCTTTTTCAGCAAAATGATATTTACTTTAAGGTTTTCAACAGGTAGTAGTTAAGATCAGTTTTGCAAAATTTAAATCATCAAATAATTTAAATCATGTAAAATTTAATATCAGTCATGCAGAATTTTTGCATGATTTATTTGCAAAATTAAAATCATTAACAAAATGTTCATAACATCAGTTTGTAGAATTTAAATCATGTAAAATTTAATATCAGTCATGCAGAATTTTTGCATGATTTATTTGCAAAATTAAAATCATTAACAAAATGTTCATAACATCAGTTTGTAGAATTTAAATGATATCTGGTATATTTTTTTATCTCCACAGGTGCAACCATATACAATTCAGATCATCTTATTTATCAATGAAAGTGGCTGGGTATTCAATGCAAATTTTTCCATTCTTATTTTTTTCCAAAGCATTTAAAAGGCATAAATTTAAGGTGGTAGAAGTGGTAACTAAGCTGATTATAGAAGGTTATCATGGTAAAGGTATATTTACGGGTACCGCTTGGTGAAAATTGTATGCTTGGCGATTTTTGGTGGTACATGGATACTGAGTTTGTGCAATTCTTTGACTTAAAAATCGCCACTACACAAAGACAAAATAACAAGTCAAGGAATTGTACAAACTCTGTATCCATGTACACATTGACCTAATTTCACTTAAAAAATCACAGAATTGTACAAACTAGGCATTGCACACTCCCTTGACTTTATGCATGTACATGTCGACCTATTTTCATTTAAGCAAACTTCAGAGAATTCCACAAACTTGGCATTGCACACTCTCTTGACTTTGTCCATGTACACATCGATATATTTTCACTTAAAAAATCGAAGGTGCACCCGATTGTAGGTAAAAGTATATTTACGGAACATTCAACTACTCAGGTTACCATTAATGAAACAACTTGTTGATAAACGAAACAACAACTTGGCGATAAATAAAGCAAGAACTTTGCGATAATACAAGGGATACCCTTCAGTCTACTTTAACCGATTATCATTCGTAATTAATTGTTTGATCACGTATTTAATTTTCTGCATTTATTTATTTTTATATATTGGAAAAATACAAGTATCCTCGAAATTAAAATTTGTTATGCACACATACACATAATTTTAAAGTGTAATAAATAACTATTATTGTACTATAAATCATAATAAATCATTTTAATTGTAATTACTTATCATTATATTAATACTTTTGTATAATTTTATTATTATGTTGGTATTTGTAATTAATTATAATAAATTATTTAATTAATATTACTAGTATTATATAATTTTTGTTATTATATTATAAATGATCAGAATAATGATATAATTATTATAATAATTCTACTGTAATAAATCACTATTACTACAAAAAGTATGCTACCACTGAAGACCGTTGTTCCATGATTTTGAGAGTTCTTATTTTTGAAAGCAATAA